TTGGCTGCTCAGTTGACTTGACATCCCTATGCCAACGCTCTTCCCCTCTAATCTAATTTAGCAATCTGAAACCATGGCCTTGGACCTCATTATCATATTGCCCTGTTCCAGCTTTGAAATGTTAAACACAGGGCACCTGGGTGGCTCCATCAGTTAAGCGGTTAAGCGTCTGACTCTTGATTTCAGCTCAGGTCATGGTCATGGGGTGGTGAGATAGAGCCCTGAGTCGGGCTCTGTGCGGAATGTGGAGCTTCTGTTCCTCTCCCCACCAGCCACAATTGCTCTCTCTCTCTCAAAAAAAAAAAAAAAAAAAAAAAGTGAAACTCCCAGACCCCACTGTAAATCTATTCTTCCACTTTTTTCTTAGCAACCTCAACGTTCCGGTCACTCTGTTCTAATGCATCCACTCTGTTTTCCCAGATGATTGGATAGCCATTAATTAGCAACCTCCTTATGACTTGGGTTAAGCGGAAGTTTTAAAATAGCAACTTAGAGGAGGGGAGCTTAGTTGTTGGCATAGAAGGAGACCCCTAGGCTCACCTTATCCCTGGAACACAGCTAGATAACTATCGAATCATTCTGAATACCCAAGAAGTGGACCTGAGGACTGACAGAACAAACTCCACAATAGAGGGAGAGAAGAGGCCACGTCACAGAAAGTAGGAGGTGCAGAGATGTGGTTTGGGGGAGAAACAGATGGCAGGTACCGTGGAAGGGAGGGAGCCCTGGTTGCAGAGAAAGGTGAGAGAGAGTGAAGCAGATAGGGGATCACACAAGGAAAATACTTCCCTAAAGCCAGTGGCTGGGAAAACAAGAGGGGCTGATTTTCCTGAGACTTTGCAATTAGCGGGGCTTGAAGACTGGAGTTAGAAAGGTCAGTGGGCTTGGCTGGGATAGAGCCTTGAGGGTGCTGCCCAATCCTGGAGTGAAGGCAGGCAAGCAACCCTGGGACAGATGGCACAATCTGAGGATCGCCTAAGGTGCATAGGGGGAGACTGTTCGCTCTTGTTGGAGCACATTTGTGAGAGATGGTGTTGGCAGAGTCACATCTCCTGGGACAAAAAGCCAATGGGCACCATTTCCCTCTGCCACCCCTCAGCATAGGGGTGGAGCCACCTGAGGTAAATAGCACAGCACTCACACCGGCTGCCTAAGCTCCTTACACCAAATGCCACTCCCCTGTGCTCTGCTGGGACTGCTTTTCTCTGGCAGGTGTGTCTCAGTCCCAGGGCAGCAGGCCCCTTCCCCAGAAGACCAGCAGAAACCCCTGTACACACCTCATTTAATGAACAGAGAGTTCTGCAAGGCTTCAGTTCTAGTGAAAGTAGCCTCAGGTTTCATTTAACAAGCAGACCAGAGCACACCTTGTTAAAACTCCCCACACTCTGACCAAGGTCCACACACTGCCCACAGTAGGCAAGGGGACCCTTGGCAGATGCCTGGCCTGAAGGATAGAACGGCCAAAACACAGCAGCAGAGTGCGCATGGCACACACCGGAGACATGCTGGAAGTGCCAGGCCTTGGACGCTATATGACCTCTTCCTCATATATGACAGCCATTACTGTCAGGACCAGAAAGCATAGCAGGCTTTTCTAGAAGTCAGAGACTTCAAAAAAATGCCAAGATGGAGGAATTTATCCCAGATGAAAGGATTAATCCCAAATGAAAGAACGAGATAAGGTCATGGCCAGAGATTGAATCAAAACCCAATATAAGTAATATGCCTGATGGAGAATTTAGAGCCACAATCATAAGGATGCTCTCTGGGCTTAGGAAAAGAATGGCAGAATTCAGGGAGGTCCTTACCACAGAGGTAAAAGAGTTAAAAAACAATCAGTCAGAAATGAAAAAATGCAGCGGTGCCTGGGTAGCTCAGTCATTAAGCATCTGGCTTCGGCTCAGGTCATGATCCCAAGGTCCTGGGATGGAGCCCCGCATCGGGCTCCCTGCTCGGCGGGAAGCCTGCTTCTCCCTCCCCCACTCCCGCTGCTTGTGTTCCCTCTCTCACTGTGTCTCTCTCTGTCAAATAAATCTTAAAAAAAAAACAAAAGAAATGAAAAATGCAATAACAAAGATTCAAAACGACTTGATGCAATGAATACAAGGATGGAAGAAGCAGGGAAACAAATTAGTGACTAGAAGACAAACCAATAGAAAATAATGAAGCTGAACAAAAGGATGAAGAGTTATGCAAGACGAGAATAGACTTAGGGAACTCCATGACTCAATCAAAGGTAATAACATTTGTATCATAGGAGTCTCAGAAGAAGAAGAGGGGGGCATAAAATTTATTTGAGGAAATAATAGCTAAAAATTGCCCAAATCTGGGGAAGGAAACAGACATCCAGATCCAGGAGGCACAAAGAACCCCCATCAAAACTGACAAAAGCAGGTCAACATCAAGATATATTGTAATTAAATTTGCAAAATATAGCAATAAAGAAAAAAAATCCTAAAAACAGCAAGACAAAAGAAGTCCCTAACTTATAAGGGAAAACCCATAAGGCTGGCTACAGATCTCTCAACAGAAACTCTGAAAGCCAGAAGAGAGTGGCATGATATATTCAACAAGCTGAGTGGGAAAAATCTACAGCCAAAAATACTCTATCCAGCAAGGTTATTATTCAGAATAGAGAGATAGTTTCCCAGACAAACAAAAACTAAAGGCGCTCATGACCACTAAACCAACCCTGCAAAAAATATTAAAGGGACTCTTTTTTTTAATTTTTTATTGTTATGTTAATCACCATACATTACATCATTAGTTTTTGAAGGACTCTTTTTTTAACCTAGGAAATATTTATTGTACAAAATTTACATTTGTTGTATATAGTGAAAACATAGCAAAATAATCTTATGTTAATCCATTTTCTTTGAAGTTTTCTGTGAAAAGTAAAGATTTATTTCCTAATATATTCTTAGATAATATAACTTCTTATATAGTTGTTAAACAGTTGTATTGGTAATAAGCATTTGGGACATAGGTATAAAACTGCAAACAGATCAAAAAAGCGCAGGGGGAAGACCACTGCCAAAGGGTAATCTCCATGAACCTGGCATTTTTCACTGCAAGGCAGATGCTGTGGGGTCATCACACTGTATACCTGGTTTGATTATCTGAAGCCATTCGTTAAGATACTTGAGTATTTTAATGAATCTTAATCTTAATCCCATTTTCAACTGCACCAAAAACCAGAAGCTACTTAGAAATAAACCTAACCAAGAGATAAAAGACCTGTACTCTGAAAACTAATAAACATTGATGAAAGAAATTGAAGATGACGTAAAGAAATGGAAAAACATTCCATGCTCATGGATTAGAAGAATAAATATTGTTAGAATGTCTATACTACCCAAAGCAATCTACACATTCAATGCAATCCCTATCAAAATACCAACAGAATTTTTCACAGAGCTAGAACAAACAATCCTAAAGTTTGTATAGAACTACAAAAGACCTGGAAAAGACAAAGTGACGTTGAAAAAGAAAAGCAAAGCTGAAGGCATCACAATTTCGGACTTCAAGCTATATTACAAAGCTGTAGTGATTAAGACAGTATGGTACTGGCACAAAAACAGACACATAGATCAATGGAACAGAATAGGAAACCCAGAAATGAGCCCATAACTATATGGTCAATTAATCTTTGGCAAAGCAGGAAAGACTATCTAATGGAAAAAAGACAGTCTCTTCAATCAAGCAGTGTTGGGAAAACTGGACAGCAAAAGAGTGAAACTGGACCACTTTCTTATACCATACACAAAAATAGATTCAAAATGTATTAAAGACCAAATGTAAGACAGGAAACCATCAAAATCCTAGAGGAGAACACAGGCAGTAACCTCTTTGACCTTGGCCATAGCAACCTTTTACTGGATATGTCTCCTGAGGCAAGGAAAACAAAAGCAAATATTAACTATTGAGACTTCATCAAAATAAAAAGCTTCTGCACAGCAGAGGAAACAATCAACAAAACTAAAAGGCAACCTATGGATTAGAAGAAGATATTTGCAAATGACCTATCTGATAAGGGATTAGTATCTAAAATCTATAAAGAACTTATCAAACTCAGCACCCAAAAAATAAATAATCCATTTAAGAAATGGGCAGAAGAGATGAATAGACATTTTTCCAAAGAAGACACGCAAATAGCTAACAGACACAAGATGCTCAACATCACTCATCAGCAGGGGAAAGATGAGTTTCAAAACACTTTTCTTAAGGGATTATATAGTTAAGATAGCTCATGAACCAGAACTTGAAGGGCATTTGAATCTAGGTATCTCTGATTAGTTTTTAACAGATGCTTTCTTGCAGTTACTCAAAAGAACCTACAATATTGTAATGCTTTGAAAACAAAAAACTTCTGTTCTCATTTTGCTATCAACAATATTAGTGGTTCTTTAAAATCTGATGACTAATTAATTCACATTATTTCATGAAAATATATTTCCTAATTTTCAAAGAAAATCTTATAATGGTTAATTTTTAAAAACCATCATAGTATCAAAGATAAAATAGATGTCAGATTGAGTCACAAAACTTTTGGAAATTCATCCCCAGCATTCTGACCTCCATCTGGCAGTGACATCATAATGTCCTAGCTAGTTACAGCATCAGCTGGGCAACAGAAAGGAAACTCTGAAGAGGAGCAGGAGATTACTGGATAAATCAATCATTTTCCCTATGAATTTTATATTGTTTATTTTTGTATCTGGGGTTTTTTCCTTACAGTACCCCAATACAACTTCCTATCGTAGTGGTGGTGAGTAAACATTTAAAGGTTTTACAGAAAGAGCAGATAAGAAAGATGACCCATTTTCCTAGAAAACTGGTATGTGACAGTTTTCTATAGGATGATACAAAGTTTATTATTGGAAACACGGTATAATTTACATTTTAAATCTCTGCCTCAAATCCTTTGTAGAAAAATGCAATTGAAACAAAAGAAAGTAGTAAAAGAACTCAACATATTTCTTATGAATTTTGCAGATAAGATGTGGCTGTCTGGCTCTCCAAAAGAATATAAACAGGAACCGGAAATTAAGGAGACTACTCCTACTAATGAGAAAAATGGCAATTCTTATAAAGATATAAAACAATGTAAGTCTTTAAAGTTCATAGTAGCACATATACAAAAGCTGGTTATACTGGTTTGATTTAACATTTAAAAAATTCTATAATTTTATTTCCTACTTCTTAAATTCTCATGTATCTTATAAATGTTTCAGTGTGTTAAATGAAATTCTTATTTTCTACAGCTTTTTTTCATGAGATGCAATGAAGTTTAACAAGGTTCTTTTGGTAATTTCCTATAAATAACAGAGTTCATCACAGCATTATGGTGATTTGCAATTGATCTAATTCTATGGTGAGTTAACCAAAATTGGAGGTGGGTATCAGTTTCCTAGGGCTGCAGAAACAAAGTACCACAAACTTAGTGGCTCAAAGCAACAGAAATTTATTCTCTCACAGTTCTGGAAATCAGAAATCCAAAATCAAAGTTTTGATCATGCCATGCTCTCTACAAAGCCTCTAGGGAGGATCATTCCTTGCTTCCTCCAGCCTCTTGTAGCCCCAGGCATTCCTTGGCTTGTAGCACAATTCTAGTCTCTGTCTCCATCCTCACATGGCATTCCTGCTGTGCCTGTGTGTCCATCTCCCTCTTCTTATAAGGACACCATTCATATCAGATTAGGAGCCCACCATACTCCAGTGTGACTCCATCTTGACTAATTATATCTTCAATGACCCTATTTCGAAACTAGGGTGCATTCTGAGATTCTGGGGATTAGGACTTAAACATGTCTTTTCTTAGGGGCGGGACACAAAATTCAACCCATTAACAAGATGACTTTAAGATGTTTGAAAGGTCCATCAAACTTTAGTTTATTCATCATTACTCATATGGGCTTTCTTTCTGTGTCCTTATAAGGCCCACCACTCATAAGAAACTCTTGTTAAAATAAAGCAATTTAAGATTAAATCTAGTTATCTTGGGATCCTTATTAACATTCATCAAAGGAAAAATAGGAATACAATCAAGATATATATACACTCAAGTACTTTGATAATAATAATGCATAAGTTGTATTTCTCTTTTCTCTTTGGTGAATCAATGTTCTTCCTTTGTAGGTGAAAAGAAACACCTGATTCTTAGGTCAATTGCCAGATTTGATACTACCAAAGCCAGGGTCAGGAGTGTTACCTAATCTATCACCACCAGGCTTCTGCCTATGGTGTGCAAATGGTGCAATCATTTCCTTTTCAGGATGTACCTCTGTTTTAAAATATCCAGAGGGTAAATAAACCAAGAGGCTGATGACTACTTTGATTAAAGAAAAAAATCTTTCTTACACACACAATATATACAAAACATAAATGGGATCTTCCTAAGAAATTGTGTTATGACTTACTTTTCTCATTTAACAACTCTGGAGCTCTTTTCACATCTGCCTCATTATTTTTAGTGGATACCTAGTATTCCATAAATCATGTCCCATAATTTATCCACTATTTTTTAAAGAATTAGATGATGTGCGGTTTTTCCCTTTTACATTCTTCTCATATACAGTTGGGTGTATCTCTCTTTGGATAGATATCAGGTAATGGGCATTGCTTAATAAAAAGTAAATCTTCAAAAATATTGATACCAGCAAATTGCCCTCCAAAAAGTATCTACCAATTTACATCCTCTAAGAATGCCCCACAATCTCACCTACAATGAATATTGTTAATCATATTTTGTGAATATAAGTGAGAAATTTCCATTAATGTTTTCATTTGCATTCTGATTACTTATGAAGGTGAGTATTTTTCTCTATATTTATTGGGTATTTTTATTTCTACTTCTGTGATTTGCCTATTCCTATCCATGGCCCCTTTTTCTATCAGGGTGTATTTTCATTTGTTTGTAGGAGCTCTTTCTATGTTTAGTATATTAATCTTTTTCCTATAGTAAAAGTTAACAAGTATTTTTTTCCCAGACTGTTGCTTATTTTTAAACCTGTTTTGGAAAAAAATTAAAAAATTAAAAAATAAATCTGTTTTGGTATCTTAATCACAGAGAAAAATTGTAATTTTCTAAAATCAATTGTTGATTGATTTTTTAATAATTTCTGCATTTTATATTTTGGTTAGATAGTTCTTATTCAATTTAAATTCAAATTAAATTGTTTTCCTATTTTTTAAAATAATTTCATATTTTTATTTTTAACTCTTAGATCTTATATCGTTATCTTTACATATGGCATATATTAGGCACAAAACTTATTTTTCAAGGAAGTTCGCCAAATGTCTAACACCAATTCCCTACTCATGTGAAACCCATTTAATATAATCTAAATTCTCATTTGAAATTGTGTCAGTTGCTACCTTTTAATTGTTTCTTTGATCTGTTCTTCCATGTAAAAATAGCAAAGTGTTTTAATTTTTATAGTTTCGTAACTCATAACATGCATGTTGGGCTTTGGTTTCCTTTTGTTATATTTCCCCATAGATCTAGTTCAGAAATTCCTCAAAAAACATGATACATTAATGACACTGTTTGTGTGTGTATGCACGTGCCTGCATGGTAAGATGATTGAATATATATGTATGTATTAAACACACATATGCATTCATGTATGTATAAAATCTTGTCATTTCATGAGATTTTGGAAAGAGGAGACATGTATATATTCATATGTCAATATGTCCCAGTGTGCCATCTTGATCCAATTTACTTTGACTCTGGTTGGGTGGATATATCCATTAGTTTTGAATTACAACCAACCCTCAATAATTTCTTCTCGGAATGTTATTTATTTATTTATTTATTTATTTATTTATTTATTTATTATTTATCTGACGGAGAGAGACACAGCGAGAGCAAGAACACAGGCAGGGGGAGTGAGAGCCGGAGAAGCAGGCTCCCCGCTGAGCAGGGAGCCTGTGGGGCTCGTTCCCAGGACCCTGGGATCATGACCTGAGCCAAAGGCAGATGCTTAACAACTGAGCCACCCAGGCACCCTCAGAATGTTATTTAGCATAAGGATACCAATTTGGCTTTTTCTCCATGAATTTTATTTTTACTTTATTTATTATTTTTTTAAGATTTTATTTATTTATTTGAGAGAGAGAGAGAGCACAAGCAAGGGGAGCAGCAGAGGGAGAGGGAAAAGCAGGCTCCCCGCTGAGCAGGGAGCCCAATGCAGGGCTTCATCCCAGGACCCTGGGGTCATGACTTGAGCCAAAGGCAGGCAGACGCTTAACTGACCGAGCTACCCAGGCACCCCATGAATTTTATTTTTAAACCTTGCCCCATTTCCTTAATTTATAGCTGAAGAATGTCTCAAAATCTTTATTATTCTTTTCTCGGAATTAGTCAGTGCTTATGTTTTAAGAAAAAAAAATCAGGTGAGGAAAAATTTAAAGGAACAAGAAGTAACTTAGTTGCTGAAAACATTTGATCTTGTATTTCTAGATGTGTTCACTACACAAAATCCAAATGGCAGCCAGTCTGAAATATCCGTGAAAGCAACAACTGATTTGCAATTTGCTCTAAGAAACTGTAAGTACTGAAAGTAACCATTGCAAATATGAAAAGCCGTTAAAGCAAGATTCCCAAACAGCAATAGAAAGTATCACGTAGGAAAAACGTCTTAGTGGAGCAAGGGTCAGGGAATCTTAGTTCCTAAATAAGGAGACTCCATGTCCCTTGCACTAATAAAGTCAGAAGTCAAGGAGGTTCTTACATACCTTAGCCTCATATTTTTGGTTTTCATGGAAAGAAAAATAATGAGTAGATTTAGGGTTCTAGAAAATTGTACGTCTTTCTTAAACCCACATTTTTATTCCTTTCTACTTATACCTTCAACTTCAAATGTTCTTATTTCCTTTTTGCATCTTTCTACCAAGTGTAGTTAATTTGCTAGGTAAAACTGTTGCCATCATGTGACTTCGGAGGCCATTAAAAGTCTCCGAAGGACATATCCATATCTTTCACCACGAAATATCAACAGCTCATCTCTGTGAAACCCATGAGCATAAAACAGAAGACAAAGAGAAGAGGATACAAGTAAACAGGGAAGAGAGAATGTCTCTGGCTCTAGCAGCTTCAATATTAGGAAAAGCCAGACTCAGTAATACCTAATTATTAATAAAGTTATTTGACAATAATGGAACATTTTGAGTAATTCTAAACCTTGGGACAGAAGTGAGGGACATTTCAAGGGCATATGTTCATTAAACGAATCACTCATGGGAATTTTGCTTGTACACAGCAAACATGATCTTGAGTTGCTTGGGACAAGAGACAGAGACCCAGGTCTCCAACAGACTGAGGAGCTCGAATTCCCTTAGGAGATGGATTATTGAGGACCATAGGACCAATGGAAGAAATTCTAAAACCCTAATTTCTATTCCCAAAATTCAGGTCCTCAAAGTATTGTCAAAGAAAGCTGGATTGGGATAAGAAATTGTTGCCCTTTTAAATGCAGGCTCTGGCAGAAGGAGATATACTAACATGGTAGGGACGTTCTAGAGGAGCAAGCCCCTCAAGGAGATGGAATTCTCCAGAATAATTTTGACTAACAATTCTTTTAGTCCCCAGAACTGTGATGGGAAAATCCACACACTTTTCTCCAAGTATGAGGGATGCATAGCAGGGTTGAAGGATTACTTACCAATTTTGATGGAGTCCTGCCTGAATCATGTCAACTCTGGTAACAGACTCTTTTCCATAGCTTTCTTGCCAACAAGGCACCTGTCATGGTGCTGTTGGTAGGCTCAGTCTGAATCCATTCTGCCTCTCTGTAGAACTTCTTCTGTAGAGAGATTGCCTGTACTTCGTGTGGAACTTCATTGACTCCCATATTAAACAAAACTAACTGAAATGGCCAACAAGGGGGGGTGGTGTGTGTGGAAAATGTCCCCCAGTCACACTCCAAATACACTCTTACTGACGTTCCTCCAGAAGATGGACACATTATAGACTGAGATATATACTAAATCAGGCCTGAAAACCCTTGATTTGTAGCCCCAAATCATTGTACCCAAAACTCTGTTTTGACTAGTTAACACGCAAATGTTTCCGACTTACAAGGATACTGATGTGCCTTCCTCTTCTGTGTTCTAACCCTGACTGGCAGCCAAGCTATCCGGGGCTGATAGGATCACTTCAAGTCCTGTTCAGGGAAACATCTGAAGCCAGTGTTCTCATCCAATACATCTCTTTTACCTCTAAAGAAAGCTTATAACCACCACCACAACCACCCCCAACACCCCCGTCCCAGCTTTTCCTCTCTCTTACAAATTATAGGGGTATTAATCCCCTCTCAGGCAACCCATTATCCCAAAACTTCATTCTTCAATGCCTTCTTCTTTCCCGTCCTTTATAATATCTCAGGAAAATGTCAACATCTTTCTCTTTTTTTCTTTTTCTTTGTTCCATTATTTAGCTTAAAAAATGCCTAATCACAGATGCTGTCAATATTTCTATATGCTGATAATCTGTTATCCCTTTTTGCAGATAAACTCATCAATGAAACAACTATATCACATACTGGAAAAAGCAGTAGTGAAGAAAATTCTACAGAACCCTATGGGAAAAAAAATCGAAGTATTAAAAATTTCTGAACTGTAGTCATACTTGCAGCATATCACTATATGATTTAATTTATGTTTCACTACTCTGGGTGTTTCATAAAGTAATAGCATGCTTAAAGAATTTATACACCTACAATTTGAAGTCACTCTAAAATCTTTTAAACAGTGAAAATCTGAGTCAATTTTTAGATTTATCTGACGGGGATAGGATGTGAGCTCTTTTTATTTTTATTTATTTTTATTTTTTATTTTTATTTTTTTTAAAGATTTTATTTATTTATTTGAGAGAGAGAGAATGAGAGATAGAGAGCACGAGAGGGAAGAAGGTCAGAGGGAGAAGCAGACTCCCCGCTGAGCAGGGAGCCCGATGTGGGACTCGACCCCGGGACTCCAGGATCATGACCCGAGCCGAAGGCAGTTGCTTAACCAACTGAGCCACCCAGGCGCCCCGTGAGCTCTTTTTAAAATAAAATTTATTTTAATAAAATGTATTACATTTATATTTATATGAGATATATAAGTATATTTTAATACATTTTAATACTATTTTTAAATAATAATGTAAAAATTTCTATCTGCTTGAGGAATAAATTTATCTCTAATTAGAGTCAATTGTTAGTGACTCAGTTTTAATTTAAAATTATCGGGGGGTTGGTAGTGACAGGTTTCAAAATCAAAATCATCATTTTACTTTCCTGCAAAGAATATTGTTCCTTATAAAATATTTGTATAACCATAACAACCCAGGATGGCTCTCCTCTAAGGCCTTGAATGAGTGGTCTAATTGAAGACAATGGACCTGTCATTACATGAAGCATCCAAGTATGTTTCTCATATGGTTACTGTGAATTAGTTTGCATCTTTAACACTGCTAAAACAAATAAAAATCTTAGTCACTTTTTTTTGATATATTTAAAAATAGAGATCTCAACATGCTGGTGGTATTCCTTTCTAAAATATCTAGTAATTTACTACTAGGCTTGGGTCATGTTCTAATTTCTTTTTTAAAATTTATTTATGTATTTTTTTTATGTTCCAATTTCTTAACCAAGCATTTAAATCTGAAATAATCTAACCATTGAGAAATGTTCAAGTTTCATTTCTGGTCATATTCCCCATCCATTATCTTCACTCCAGTCTACCTGAGGTTCTCAGAACGCACCAAATCTGCTCATGACTCAGTGGAATGATCTCACGCTTGCCTTGTTTGCCTGGCAAGCAATTTCTAGTCCTCTAAGCCTATACTGGAGCATCATCTCCCTTTCGAAGGGTTTCTGGCCTTTGCAACTAGAGTTAGGGCTCTCTGTGCATACCACTTGTGCGTTTCTATTGCCCCTGCCCCCCTCCCCCCCCGTTATCCTGCATCATCATTAACAGTGATTCTTGTCTGCCTCCCAAACTGAGAGTGTGTTCCGTCAGCATAAGGCCTGTGTCTTCATTTATGAACTTTAATGCCAACCACAGCGTCTGGCACATGGTAGAAGCTCAAGGTATAACTGTTACATGACTAAACTAACAAGTGAATAAATGCTCTATCACAAATTTACTAAAGTGAACTTACCTTACTTAGTTATCCTGTTCTATTTTGTTTTTTAAACAGAACCAACCAAGGGTCCAAATGAGCCTGCATTTTGGACAATGTTAGCTAAAGGTAAACTCATAGTAGTTAGGTAGCTGGGAAAATGTTTTGGTTTTCTAAAGTCTTATGTAAGAAAGCCAAGATCAGTATAAATTTTTCTAATATTAAGAATTAATAAATCAACATTCTGCTGCCATTATCACGTGTAATAGCAAATGCAAAACAAACCCACAAAACTGATTGTGTTGCACACTTTCCTGTTCTCTCCCCCAAAAGTTTATTCTCCTATAAATGTTGCAATCTTGTCATTCAATTTATTTATGATTAAAAATTTTAAATAAGGCTCTTGCTCAATGTAGTCCCTTTTTGTGTTTGGAGCAGTATGCATGTAAGCACATGGAGATACGTGAATAAATGCAAAGTATATATCAAAATATATGCATGTATAAAGTAATGCATATATCGTAAACATATAAGCATACATGTGTAGATGTAATGTGCATGTCTTATATATGCACATAAATGTATATGTAGATGCACACATGTATAAATGTAATTCATGTAGCACACATATATGCACGCTTGTAAACACAAAATATATACCATGTCCAGTTGATTCCCATTATTTGCAGGTTTTGTATTTGTGAATTTACCTACATTTAAAATATATTTGTAACCTCCCAAATCACTTTCATGGTCATTTGCAGACATGCACAGAGCAGCAAAAAATTTTAATTGCCTGACACTCATGTTCCAGTGGAGGTACAACGAGGCAACACTCTGCCTTTCTTCTGCAGCTCTTAGACTGTAATCAGGCGTCCTTTTTGTTGTCTATTTAGTGCTATGTGTTTTGCATTTTTGTGCTTTCAGTCAGTGATTTTGCTAATTAAAATGGCCCCCGAGTGTAGTATTAAGGTGCTGGTTAGTGTTCCTGAGCACGAGAAGGCAGTGATATACCTTATGGAGAAAATATGTGTCAGATAAACTTTGTTTAGGCTTGAGCTATAATGCCATTAATCATGAATTCAATGTTAATGAAGCAGCAATATACATTAAATAAAGTATCTTTAAATAGAAACACACATCAAGGCAAGTTATGTATTGATTGGTTGACGAAAACATTGTGACCAGAGGTTCTCAAGAACCTAAGCTTGCATTTCCCCCAGGAGCAACAATTCAGTATTCACGAAGTCAGTGTTCCTGCGCGGTGACTTTACGGAGCATAACTGTCATGAATAATGAGAATAAACTCTCTATATTAAACACACACACACAGTAATTTTTGTAAGTGAATTTTGTTTACCATAACCCCAATTTATTGTCTTAACAGCTTTAAATGCAACAACAGCTGCGGAGATTGAAGAAAAAGATCAATTATTTCACCCAATTCCAAGTAAGAACAAAATACCTCAATTAAATGGATGCATAAGTGCTGGCACACATTTCAATGTGTGACTTCACAGCGTGACAATACTGTTTTCCCTAGTAACGTGGAATGTACGTAAAAGGGTAGCGTGGTGGCTAACGTCATTTCAGAGAGGACATTTGCTGTTTTATAAAGCGATTGTCCCTAAACATTATTCTCCAGTGGCCACATATGCAGAGGGATGTTTTCATTTTCTGGTTTTGTGACTTCTATTCCTAAAACAGATAAACCAAACAGGAGTAGGCAAGTGAATCATATCTATAATGCGGTGTTTTTAATTGATAGACTCTATTTTCAGAGCAGTTTTAGGCTTACAGAAAAAAATGAGCAGAAAGTACAGAGAGTTCTCCTATAGTTCCCCAACTCAGTTTCTCCTATCATTCTCATCTTGCGTTGGCTTGGTACGGGTTTTACAATGTAGGAGCCAGTATCCATATGTTAGTATTAACTAAAGTCCATAGTTTACATTAGGGTCCACTCCTTGTGTTGCACAGGTCTGTGCGTTTTGACAAATACATAATGTCATGTGTCCACCATCACAATCATAGAGTAATTTCACTGCCCTAAAAATCCCCTGTGCTCCACCTATCCACCCCTTTGTCCCTAATCCCTGGCAACCACTGATCTTTCCACCATCATAATAGTTTCGTCTTTTAAAGAATGTTATATAGTTGGAAACATAAAGTATGTAGACTTTCACCCTGGCTTCTTTTGCTATGCATTTAGGATTCCTCCGTGTATTTTTGTGGCTTGATGGCTCATTTCTTTTTTTTTTTTTTTTAATAATTTTTTTATTGTTAACCACCATACATTACATTGGCTCATTTCTTTTTATCACTGAATAACATTTCCTTGTGTGGATATACCAATTTATCCATTCACCTGCTGAAGGACATCTTGATTACTTCCAATTTTTGGCAATAATGAATAAAGCTGCTATAAATATTCATGTGTAGGTCTTTGTATGGACATAAGTTTTCAACTCTTCTGGGTAAATATCAAGAATTGTGATTGCTGGATTGTGTGGTAAAACTATGTTTAGCTTTGTAAGAAATTACCAAACTGACTTCTAAAGTGGCTATACCATTTTGTATTCCCACCAGCAATGAATGAGAGAATTCCTGCTGCTGAATGCAGGTTTTATTGCAATTTTCATTCATGGATTAGTTATATTTATATGAGTAAAAGAACTCCTGATTTCAATAGAAAATTTCACGACAAGGCAATATATTAATTTCCCCCAAACCTCTGTCCTACAAATAAACTATTGGGAAAAAAAATAGCATCTGGTGATACATCTAAGGCCTGACGTCTCTGTTCTGCACTGGATTATTTGACAAATACAGCCATTTGCCTTGCAGGGTTTTAAGAAAATCGAGTGAGTCTTTGTTTAGAAAAGTTATATACAGGAATGACTAATACTGTGTTACTTTAGAAATATTTTGTCTTTCCAAGTAATTAAATTGAACATGATTAATTTTTTATCATGTATGGAGCACATATTACATGCCAGGTCCTTTATATACATTATTATGTCAGTCCTCACAGCAACTCCATGAAGTTGGGATTATCTCCATTTTACAGATGAGGGAACTGAGGCTTAGAAAACCTGTCCAAGCTTGTAATTAGCTTTCTCATGATTTCTAGTGGTGGGGAATTCCAAACCCTTCTCTAGTTTTGACCATCACCTTGAAAAACAAAATGTACTATAAGCACATCTCTTTACAAAAATCCTTTTAAGGAGTAGCAGAGCAATTCAGGAGCACAGACCCTCTTAATATAATTTGTTTGATTATTCCTCAGAGAATCTGCCTCAAAGTCAAGATAACAGTCACTGATAGCTGTATACATTTCACTCTTCATGGTCTAAGATTGCACTTTGACAATTATAGAATCTGGGAATACACATATGTGAGCTCGCCACTGCTTATCACCAAAACACCATGACCTAGAAAATAATGAAAACCTTTGGAACTTTTGGGTGGGAGAAAGTTGGGGGAAGAGAGAAATATGAACATGGTCATTTCAAGTCACCATTAAGTAAATGTCTATTAAGCCAGACAGAAATTCAGGAAAATGTAAAATGTGGCAGTAAAGATGTATTTTCATTAATAGATTTAGTAAAAAGACCTTCGACATCTCTGGATCTGGACATGATTTTTATTATCTAACTTTAGAAAGAAGTAGATTTTCATTTCTTTTTTAACATCAAATACACTAGGGTGATCTCAGTAACAAAATGACAGATGCAGTTCTTAAACTTCATGGAGAAATCATCTGGTACACCATCCTTTTAGCATCAGAGAAAAACCAATGCAGGTCCCAACAGTAAAAGGGTATCTTTCTCTTCTGAAAGATGAGGCCCTGGTGTGTAAGTTCATCACATTTTTAATAGTCATCTCTTCAGAGTCTTGAAATGGCCTTTATTAGTCAGGGAGGAAGATTGCTGTAGACACATTTGAGCATCTGGTAACCTGGTTTTGAAACCAGATTTTGCCACTTCCTCGCTATGTGCCATGGGCGAATTTATAAACTTCTGTGATCCTGTGAAATGGAGCTAAGAACAGCTCCTCCAGGACTATTGTGGTAGTTCAACAAAACAAGCAAAGAGTACTTAGCCCCAGGGAGTAGCCCATAGTCTTCCTTGCATTGCATGAGACAAATGAGGGTGCACAGTGAATACCCTGGATGCTGAAGGCTTCTCTTCATTGCTTAGCTCTCTTTACTCATCCAGGAAAACATGCTGGAAACAGTTACTCTTTTCCATTGCATTTTCTTTGTTTCCTCTCAGACTCTGATTTGAATGCTACAAATGAAGACACCCTGATCAAGCTACAGGAAATCAAGTTAAAATTAATGCTGGGCATCTCGTTGATGACCCTCTTCCTTTTTGTTATCCTCTTGGCAGTCTGTAGTGCCATGCTGTACAAAGTGAAGACAATTAAGTAAGTCCGCAAACCTCCGGAGTCTTTGGAAAATGCATGATGTGAAGCTCTCCCCCTCCTTTCTTTGGTAGATTGTTTAGGCAATGTGGCTCCCAAATCTTTAAGATCTCACGTTGGGCTCCATTTCTCCTATTCAGAAAGGAGCATGGGGCTGTCTCTCAGGGAGAATTTTTCCCCAGTATATTAAATAGTCATCTAGAGATAAAAATAACACTCGTCAATTGGAAAGGATATAGAGAATCTAGGTATGCATTCTTTTTTGCTAGCCTTGGGTCAAAAGGGCTATGAACTCTGTTCTAAACAGCACATCTGCTTAGGGTCTAACATTTTTCATTTATTTATATGGTGTTGTACCAAGTAATTGTTTTAATTTTTGTGATGCTTTTCTAAATTGAGTTGAGCTGCAAATGTGTGTAATTAAAAACAATTCTTGATACATGTTTTCTTTTTCAGTTATAAAAGTAGACATCAGACTGAATACACCGTCAACCCAGAGCTGGCAACTCTGTCTTATTTTCATCCATCAGAAGGCATATCAGACACATCTTTTTCTAAGAGTGCTGAGAGCAGCACGTTTTGGGGCACCACTTCTTCAGAAGTGAGAAAAACAAACACCCAGTCAAAATCTAGAACGACGGACATTGTTTCCATAGCCTCAGATGACACAGGCGGGAATGAGGAGTCAGATTTAATTCAGAGTGAGGAACCAAGCGAAGAAACACCCACTGATGAATAGATGACTTTAAGTTTTTGTCAGAAAAGAAGTTTCTTTGTGACTCCATTAAGGTCATGATTTGGAAACTGCTGAGAAACTTAAATTTTCTGGTGCCTGAAAAGGAGGACATATTCAATAAAATTATCTTAGCCATAAAAATTATATAATGGAAAAAATACAAGAAAATAATTTAAGGTGTGGAAAACTCATCCAGTAAAAATAATCCTGGACAGTGACTTATGAAAATTATTCACTCTAGGCCGGTTAACATTAAAATGAGGACATTTAGATATCTATCTTATGGGGGGGCATTTTGGAGACTTTCAGGGTAATCCACCACTACCTACACCCCCTCACCAAAGCAAAAAGAACACACTTGTTTGTGTTTTACCGGCGAAATAGTTATGCCCTATGAAGAAATGAAACTAAATTAGTACTAGAGACTCCTAGCATTCTTTTTTTTTAAATTTTTACCACTTTTTAAATTTGTATTTTACTTATATTCAATTAATTAACATATAGTGTATCATTAGTTTCAGAGGTAGAGTTCAGTGATTCATCAGTTGCACATAATACCCAGGGCTCATTACATCACATGCCCTCCTTAATGCCCATCACCCACTTCCCTGTCCCTCCACCCACCATCCCTTCAGCAACCCTGTTTGTTTCCTATAGTTAAGTCTCTTATGGTTTGTCTCCCTCTCTGATTTTGTCTTATTTTATTTTTCTCTCCCTTCCCCTATGATCCCATGTTTTGTTTTTTTAATTCCACATATGAATGAAATCATATAATTGTCTTTGATGTATTTCGCTTAGCATAATACCCTTGCAAGTGATAAGATTTCATTTTTTTGATGGCTAAGTAATATTCCATTGTGTGTGTGTATATACATCTTCTTTATTCATCTGTCGATGGACATCTGAGCTCTTGCCATCGTTTGGCTATTGTGGACATTACTGCTATAAACACTGGGGTGCAGGTGCCCTTTCGGATCCCTACAAGACTCCTAGCATTCTTGTTTAAAAATCGAGTTATCGGTCACTTATGAGGCCATCCATCCCAGGAGTATTTCAGTTTCAAAGACCAATGGAATATGAATATTGTTTCCCTTTGAGGAATTAGTTTCAACTGGAAGGATTTTGGGTATATGTGTCAGATCTTTTGTGGATATGTGTGGAGCTGGGGTGGGGGTAGAGAACATAGGTTTTATTGCCTTCGTAAATTCTCACCTACTTTATGCTAGGCAGTTTGGTACATTACATCACACTGAAAGGCACGTTTCTTTCACAGATCAAGAAATGAAAAATCAGGTAAATCAGATACTCTGCCTAAGATCACCTGCTGGAGAAGGGCAAAGCTAAGATGTGCTTCCAAAGCGAGGTTCTCTCTGTGATCCATGAAGGTTACTAGTCAAATATAACAAAAGTCAAAGGAGGTTGTCAGGAGCAAGGTAGGCCTCACATAGGGCAGGAAATTCCTTAAGGGTCCTTTTAGCTCTTGGGAAATTGCTTTCCCTACTTCTAGCTTAGGTCTCTATAAACCTTCCCCACGGAGGACAGACGGACTCTCTACACTCACCTGCCAGGTCCCCTACCAACCATTCTCAGAGTCATTTGCTCAGTCCCTGATTTTCGCCCTGACTCCAGCCCCAGTCTCACCATTGGTTGCGAAAGCTCGGAAGCTCCGCCTTTGAGTAGCTATGGACTATATAAGACTGACCCTTGAGGGAAAAGAAGTGGCCCGGCAGCTCACCTCAGATCTAGCTGGTAGTGGGCAGAGTTCCTGAGCCCTTGGGGGTGACCTTGGGCAGTGGCCCATGCTACCCTCTGCGGGTTACTTTTGCCATTTTCCGTGCCCTTTTGACGGCACCGGGGGTCTGTGCCAGCGTTTGTTTTGCCAGTTCACACACCAGGACAAGCGGTGGGAACGGAGTGAGGCAGGTGGTTGCAGCTGCTTGGGAGTACTCGAGGTGCGGAGGAGCCTTGTTGAATCCACGGGTGAGAAAGAGCTCGTGGAAAGAACGTCAGGTGGGCTTGAGGAGGGATTGACTACCAACCATTCCCACCTGTTTTCTCCACCCACCCTTGAGAGGTGCCGAGAATTTCCTTGATCAGAAATAGGTATAAGTCACATTTCAATCACCCAACTTCTCTCCAGTACTTAAAAAAGTATTATAGAGTGAGAAAGTTAATCACTGTAGCATTACTATGGCTAAACTGGCCCAAAGAGATGTTAACCATATTTTTAGAAATTGTCTTCTCATCAGTGGAGATAGCTTGCAGATACCATTGCAGATACCATGTAACGTGCAGTCAAGTTATGGTGGGGGGTGGTTGAGGAACCAAGTTGTCCCAGAGTCCCCAAGACTAAATCTCCCCCATCACACCCCCAGGATCAGGAGCCTTAAGTGCCAACCTCTATGCTTTCTTTCTCCCGTGGCAAGTATGTCCTGAGATCTGCCAAACAGAAAGGGTGCTATGGGGGTTCTAACTGGCAGCGTTTTTCTCAGGCCTTTTGGGTGGTTGCAAGATTCCCGAAACCTGGGGGAGGTGGGGCAGTAATGTTTGGGAAGATGGAGTGGGCTGGCTGTCTTAAGAACCTCTCTTCCCGGGGTCGGGAGAAGAGAGCACCTCCGCCACAGTAACCAAGCGCTGGGCGCACCCGCCCCCCTCTACGTGAGTGGCTCCGCCCGCAGCTGCGCGCGGGGCGGGGCCAAAGTCACGTGGTCAGAGAGGATCGGCGAGCGGGGCGCTGAGCAAGCGGTCTCCTTGCTGTGGACTGGCAGATCCCAGCTCCTGGAGCGCGGGGTCCTAGAAAGGCGTGCACAGGTTTGCTGGCTCTGAGATGGACTTGTGTGGTCTTCTCCTCCCTCCTTGCCACCCATCCCCAGTGTGGAGTTACTATAGGGGTTTTGTATGCTCTGGTGAAAGGAGATGGGGTAGCACCCCCTTTGGAGCAGAAAGTATTTACAATCCAGAGGAACTCCTCTCAGTCACTTCTAACCTGAGCGAAGATTGTTAACGTGTGCCTTCAAACTTCAAAATCAGCTCCCTAAATGTAGCTTCTGATGAGAAAAAAAAGGTTTTTTTAACTGGTGACATGGAGGGAAAGTATAATCTCTCTTTTTTCAATAGCGCCCCCAAAGCAGTGCCTAAACAGCCTTTCCTGAATCAAGGCAACCAAATAAAACCCAGCTTATGCTAAAATGCAATTCTGGCTGGTTATCCAGAGGTTAGTCGCCTGCCCAAGTGTATTTAAAGGGAAATTTGATCCAGGCGTTTGTTTGGATCCTAGGATAATTCTCATTCTTGTGCTTTCCTTTTGCCTTCTGCCTCCCTCCTCCACTCAAATGCCACACACTTCTGTAACACATTGTTTTAGATTTCAGCAGAGTTAATTTCTTAATAGAAAACGAAAGGCTATTGAGCCAAGACAGTGCTCATTGTGTTAAGAAGAAGCATGTGTGTGTTACCAAAACATGGGGCTTACCTAAAATAAATTCAGAGTTTCAAAAATTGGGACCAATCTGAAATCTCTTGAGAGAAGAGAGAGGTGTGTAAATTATCCCATAAATGACAGAGGAAAGTGTATCTTGAAAAGAGGGAAGAAACTTGTGATTTCTTTAGTTAAAAGTCAGGAAGGAGCGGCCAGGTGCTGTGAACAGTCATTACTGCAAGGCTTCTCTCTTGTTACTGTCCTGGTTTTTCCTCAGGAGTGTGAATCCAAAACTGCTCTGGAGTTTTGTTCTATTGACTGAATTATTTTTTAAGATTTCTTTTATAATGTATGTTGGGGAGGGGGTGTTTTATGTTTGAGGCAATCAGTAGAATACCAGGACCTCAATGAGAATTTTGAGGCCCATTGAATTTAGGAAAGACTGGTGCTTTAATTAACTTTTTTTATAACCAAGATGTATTGGTGTATGAAACTATGTGCAATTCTGTGTAAGTCGCATTCAGCTATTTGAACTCTTCAAATTGTCACTGGGTGGTAAATAATAAGGTGAATGGGGTATATCCAAACTGTATCACATTTGACACAGTTTAATTATGTGTAAACCTGGCCTGCCCCACTGATATATAATCACTCTAGTAATGAGGCACGGATGTTATTTAATCAGTCATGGAGATGGGCTTGACATTTGAAAGACTTACAGAGAGCTAGTCCTTGACTTCTCATTCTGATTCTAAGAACCAATCGTGTGTTAATGGCTGGGTTTGGAGGAGTTAATGTCCTATTGATAGTAAACTACCTGTCCGGTATATTCTGGAGTCTGCATTTCACCTGAGGTGATTTTTAAAGATAAAACTCGTCTTCCATTGACAAAACTAGGCACAACTATGGAAGAACTGGAGAGGCTCAACAAAGAAATTGAATTTGTCAAGACTGAGGTTGAAGAAAAGCAAAAGAGGCTCTCCAAGTTTAACGCTTGAAGAACTACTGCGAAGCCACATTGCCTCCTTGAGTGACACAAATTTGAGGCAAGATTTTCTTGAATATAATAGCCTTCTTCCAAAGGAAAAGTGGAATGAACCATCAAAGAACAAAGAGAGTCAGCCTAGAAAGTATGTGCTGGACCACAAATGTCCAGCAACAGATCTTGAATATGATCCCTTGCTCAATTATTCTGCAGGGCTGCTTGGCACATCGAAAGCCAGGCAGGATGAGAATGATGACAGCACCTCTGCCACTTGAAAAAATCTGTGGGGGAAAATTGCCACAAGTCCCAGGAGAGCCAAAGACCTTATGTTTCACCAATAAGAATTACAATAAATCTTCAAGAATCTGATGAAGATGACCTTGTAATGGATGTACCTCCAGTCATGCCTATTTCTAAAAAGTCTAAACCTTTGAGAGGTTTCAAATATCAGAATATGGACAAAACGTTACATATAATGTCCTCAGAGGAGAGAAATCTTCAAATTAGTGGCACAGAAGTGGAAAAACTAGAGAAAACCCAACTAACCACACAAATAGATGATGACGGTAACAAATTAGAACCACCAAAATGGCTCATGCA